GTCTGTATCGCGATGTCAATAAAAGACCGGACGGCATGACATCGGTCCCCTTCAGTCACGGAAAGTCATGGGTTTGGGATGTCACCTGCCCGGATACCATGGCCATCACCTATATCGCGAAGACGTCCGAAGAAGCAGGCTCAGCCGCCAGCATGGCAGAGGCAAAGAAAAACCAAAAGCACGGATTTTTACGCGATAATTTCAATTTCTCTGCTTTGGTTTTTGAAACAATGGGCGTGTGGGGCAAAGAATCGAAATGTAAGATGTCTACACTCGGTAAGATGCTTTTTGAGAGGGCACAGGAGAAACGGTCCACTCAGTTTCTGAAGCAGAGAATCAGTGTGCTTTATTGTGAGGCAATGCTGCTTGTGTACAGGAAACGTTCTGTATCGGTAAGAGGTTGGACGAAGTGTATTACGTACTGAAGTGATTTACTGCGTGATTTTCTATTCCGCCAATGTATACTTATGTAAACAACCGATTAAAAAATTAAAATTAAACGTTCTGAAGGATTCGAGCCGCTGACCTTAAAATGCTGATTGCTGCTTAAAGGATTTATATTTAAATAGATACCTTGCTCACATTGATGATTCCGCCGAATGCCGTTCACTCGCGATAACGGTTAACGTGATGACGGCGAAATTGTACATGTTTGTTGTGCAAAAAATGCGCGCGCGCACTAAGCGGAGTAATCTGGCGGTTTGCAGACGAGATCGAGTCTCCGAGCCTCCCGATGACGCCGCTCCCGACGTCACCGACGCTGACTAGGAACCGTGAATTGGTCAAACACTCAAATATTCCTTCTCTCTCCAGACTTGCAGCGCACACCTGTGCAAGAGGAGAACGACTGGATAAGGCCACTCCGATTAATAGATTTTACCTCCGCAGAAGCAGATTTGCAGATTTGAAATTAGCTGTAAAGTTTTGCATTATACGCATTCGGCCATCGGCACTTTTACAAATTGACCAGCGAAACCAAAAGCAGGGAATCAGGCGGTTATCCAGCTATCCATTAGAAAGTTGAACGGTTCATGAAACTCCTTCCTTCATGAAACTCCTTTCGCCCTCGCAATTTCGCAGCTGAATGCTTTCCAGCGTGGTTGCAAGACATCCAGGGTTCCATCAGACCCTTCACGCTACTCGCCACCGCCAAGTCACCACGACACTCCAGCCCTTCTTGGCGAGTGAATTCAATTCACGTCGTCCTCGGGCGGAAAATGTGACGGTGGGCACGTATCATAGATGACATTCCAGCAGCGAAGCGACTGTTCGGTTTGAGGAAACACTGTTAACGTCCAGTCCACTGTTGACGTCCAGTGTGCGTGCCGTTATTGCACGCATAAACGGCACGGCCACGATAGCGAACGGCTAGGACGGCCAACAAGAGTATGCGGAGCTGACCCTTTCTTCGCTGTGGCCGACGATAAAATAGCGGGTGTCGATCGTTATTGTCATCAGGTGCCACGTAAACAGCAGCGACGCTAACGGAGGCAACAGTCCGTCTTGTTACTTACTTTTTAATACTATTGTATGTTTTCAAGCCTGTAAGAATGGAATGCATATCCCATAACAATATTATGGTTTGTCATTGTGCAATACTTTTATGGAGGTTTCAGAATGATAATTATTATGATGCGCATATGTACATATGTACATTTCGCGAGATGCGCCAAGACAGCAGTTAATTGATGCATGTAAATTTGCATTTAAAAGCACTTAAAACTTGGCGTTTAGAAAGCTTTCCCACACTGAAAAGAGGTACTGCCCGATATTGTGAGGTCTATCACTCCCCGCATGTATGCAAGCAAACATACCGGTTGATTCATGTTTCCTTATGACGCGTACATTTGTAGTATGTACAAAAATTCATGCACTGTACAAAATTAGTAGTTTATACTAACTATACTTGTACTCGATTCACATCTACTGGTAACAGAGAAAAAGAGCAACAGTCACTAGGCTCCGTCACTGGCAACAAGTAATGTTCCTCATGGTGCAGGGTGCATGATGAAGCAAATATGCGTTCTTTTACAAGGCTCAACAGCGTTACCATTTCCCTCGGAACCAGCTTGTGGGTGACCTAGCGGTCCTTGACAGTGTCAGATGTCGAGCACGGAACGGGCAATGTCAGTTTGCTGTGACAATTTGCTCTCATAATTTATATGCAGTGGACTGAGGGGAACCTCCCAACTTTGAACACCCTCGTATTTTAGATTCAGAGGTGTTCACCGTTCGGGGGCTGTTCAAAGTCAGAGGTTTCACTGTATCAAGTTTAATTAGCCCCATCCGGTACGTCCTCGTACTCCGTGCCTAACGTCATAGGTAATAATGCTGTTAATGATTCTACTATATGATAAAAATTAATAAAAATTAGTTCTACATTATCACAGGCACGTACAAAGTTTCTTTAATTTTTTGCTCTATTCATCGATTTTCAAGTTTTTATTGTTTCAAGTTTTTATTGTTGTAATGTTGTATCCACATATTTCCGCGCATGCACTCGTACGAGTAAAGCGCTGTGCATTTGATAAATTACTACCATACTGATTTGCAGTGTCAGTTTGAGAAAGTTTTTTTCTGCCAGCTTAACTGGTTATTGTGCTAAAGAAAGCTGCAAAGGTCATGCGTGACAATCGATGACATGCTGTCTGTTTATTGCAGGATTTAATATGTCAGTGCAGCGTTCATCGTTAACAATTTGTTTGATGATGTTTGAGCCATGGCAGACCACCCGCTGCCTGATTCGGCTGTGCAAACAGTAACTAGCCATTGGTCACTGACGGCTGATACTGTCACGCAACCCATGTATCGATGCACTACACATTATATGACAGCTGAGCTGAGAGAGGCAAATGGTCACTGTCAGTAAGGAATATCACGCAGCCACTGGGCACTGGTCTATCCACCAGCGCAGCGCAAGTACGAATGCATGTGCAGTACGCGCGAGATACGGGATACGCACAGTATTCCCATATTTAAAGAGTAGCCTGTTACTGATACGATAATTTTTATTAAGTATTGTATATATAAAACGCGCAACTACGGAAATTACTTTCAGTAATAGTATTTGTAGTACGAATATAACTAGTCTATAACAAGTATACACTGTCAGCAAAATTATTATTAAATTTTTATTCTTGTACTCTTTCACGTCTTGCCATGACACAACAGCGTACCCTGAATTCGTAATATAGCATCTGATGGTGAGTTATTACAGACTACAGAAACATGCAGCCATCGCCATAGTTTTCACGCTTCAGTCATCTAATCCCGGATACGTATTGTACTCGTACTTACCGACTATGAAATTATCGAAATCCAGAAAGAGTCAACCCATACTCCATTACTGATCTGGGCTGCTGAGTGAACGGAATCTACAGTACCCGTTATTACTAAAAGTACCCCTGTTCGGTCAACTTCGGTGAGCAGGACCATGTGAACACTGGATCGTTCGGCATTCCGTGCTGCCGACTGAACGGTAATTTTCAAAGATTCCCGCTATAATAATTATGGTCACTATTCACTGACAAAGTCTACATACTGAATAAGGGGAACGATAACAATAATACTGTCCACGATCAAATTATCAATTCAACAGTTATTAAAAAACAGCGTAGTTGCTAGAAATTTAGCACCGCTCTTTGACTACTCGTCGTCGTGCTACTAAAAGTTTGTCCAAAGTGCACCGATGAGCTGTTACTGTTTCCTGATCAGAGCAGCCTACGAACGGAAGGCAGTGCGTAATCGTTTCCTACAAAAAGTACACATATCCAAACTTAAAAAAATGAACAACAATTATTTTTTATGGAATTGACTGTAGGCCACCAGAGCATCTGTGGCAAAGCCGAAGATGACTCTTGTATATAACAGCATGCATGTGTTCGAAATATTGTATTTTAAATTATGCATACATGCGTTAACATTTAACAATTAATCGCACTTCATCTCACCATCCCAGTATCAGCACCGTCATTGTGATTAACTACAGAAGGCACAAGAGCAAACAAATTCAACGACTAAGCCTAATTGACATGCATGTGCGAGTGCTTTGTATAAAGCGCATACATGCATAATCTGGTAAACACAAAATACTAATGCTTTAGTTATCGAAAATAACCAAAACCGTAAACAAAACCTGTAAAAGAAGAAAAAGAACTGAAATGATGAAGCGCGTAAATGATGAAATGATGACATCTGTAAATGACGAAGCCTGTAGAGCAGCCTGCACTGAATGCACCACAGATGTACGGCGAACAAGCAGAGTTTCACCAGTTGTGTCCAGGATGCAAGCTTTTATAAAATAAGGGCTCATTTGGTTCTAATTTATTATTAAAAAATTGTCAACACTGACACAAAAAACATTAACTGTGTACAATCGGTTCTAATCATTTATTGTGATAGAACTGTGATTGTGAATTGCTTGAAACTAACAATTCAGTTATGCAGAAGATTTGAAACAAACCGTTTGGCAGTTTGTGTATACATGTTTGTTTTGAGTTCGGTTTTTATCATAATATTATATACTTAACAACTTAAACTTAAACTTAATAGTCCGGTAATCGCTTACTTTTTAAAAGAATAAATTGCGTTTTGCAATTTGCTGACAAGCATTTGCTAGTAAGTGATAATATCTTTAAGTGACGATCGATACGTCCTTGTTGCAATATGGGCAAGAAGGAGGGCATACAACTTCCCGTACAGTCCATTGTAGCCGGCATACAATTCATACGATAGTACTATGAACCGCGCGCTGATGCACCGACAAGCGAAGAAGCATTAGTAGCTGGTGCCATCATCACTTATAACATCTACCATGAATTCCGTATATGGAGACGATAAACACGGTTTTACTAGTTCCGGCATTTTGCATAGTCAGTCAGCACACAAAATAAGAAAACAATTATTGTACTAATTCAATGGCTGACAGATATCAGGTAAAAAAACAACGTTAAAACTTTGACTGTAGTTCTTTTCCCCCGAGTAAGTGTGCGCGTACACATGCACCCTATTAAAGTTTCTATAGTCTACCAGTAGCATGCCGTCGATCTTGGTACCGCACACTTTATGCACAGTGTTAACATGTAATCGACCGGGGCTACGTGTGTGGATCGGCAGGAAACGGTCTTTATACAAGCCCGTTTTCAAACCTGTAGACCGCTGTAAGCGGGATATTTGAAAAACGTGGGCTTGAGCCATTCAGGGTGCTTCGGCACGTCACGGCGTTTTGGTCATTAACGCCACTGCGGTGTGAGGGGTGTGTGAGAGAGACAAGTATGAGATAGACTGAGTGCTCTACGCCAATGCATCCAGTGCAGAGTAGATAAAATCTAGCTTTTCACTGTGCGCTTATTTACTGCGTCGCGCTTACAGCGGTCTACAGGTTTGAAAACGGGCTTGTATTATCAATAGCCAAACCGAAGAAGCAACAGTGGTCCCATTTGAACAATTACGGAAAGTAGATCAGTTTTCATACCCCTTCCATACAGACCAGGACATAAAAGAAGAAGAAGTTGATGTTCTTTTGAAAGCGGATGAAAATCAACGGGAATCATGGTGGCCAGGGTGTATCAAAAGCTACAGAGCGAAAGACGCTGCGCTCTTCAGTTTTACGGAAGCTGAGGTCACATTGCCGAGAACTACGCGATGTTACATCAGGATGCAGTATCAAAGTTATTTCAGAATGCGGACAATCCGTCCGCGGGGGTACCTTGGGAAAAAGGTGACGCCGGAAACCTTCCCTGTAATGCGAATTTCCTTGCCAGTGTCGGAGCCATGGTGTCGGGACGCTTTAGTTGGCTTGAAATGGTTGAGCCGCATCGCAGCGTTTTACACCGACTGGTACTGCCAAACAAATACGATTTTTCTCCATTCCGATGATCAGTTTATTGAAGTTCTAAGCAGTCACCGGAATTATGACTCACCGCGTACTCTTGCTGAAGCCTTTAAAGCGTCCCTTTTGCAAGGGATATTGAACTACTTCCGGAAATTTGATGAGCGCGTTCACGCGGTAACAGACAACCTAATTTGCCACTTGGTTAACGTTGTTACGAAAGCAGAAGGTTGGCAATTTTTGTCTGGGTACAGCCTGCTAATTGTTGGCATTCAAATTTACTAACGCTTCTTATTCATCCGCGTTAGGCGGTCGTAAACCGAAGCACCAGTGTGACGCCGTACATTTGATTTGAAGAATTCTGCATACAAAATTTATTTTAGCATTTGTTGTAGTTCCGTTGAACTCGTGCGAGTATCGCATAGATGAATTACCTTTGGATGTGCAGCTGACGGTGTATTCTTTTCTGGATCCGTATGACCAAGGGCGTTTCAAGAGGTTGCAGCAGCAAAATTAACGGCAGGGTGTAAAACCTGGCACTGGCAAGTGCCTCTGGCGTTGCCACTGGCATGGCAAGGGATAAAACCTGGTATGTTATACCTCTGGCACGCAATAAAATATGGCATATGCCGGAAAACTAGAACTATTAAAACCATAACTTTCAGTACGATGTTGTAGCTTTGGTTTCTTGTAGATAGCTTTACCGCACACTAATGGATTATTACAAGCAGTAATAAAGGGGGCAAAACCAAGCCTGTTCCACGGTTCCCCTGTATTGCTGCCGTCACCCGCCTGGAGTGTGACGTTACGGCAATACATATGGTTAAATCTGGCGCGGTACATAAGCGCCATATTTAGCCACAACGTAAAGCTCCAGACGGATGCCGGCAGCAATACAGGGGAACCGTGGAACACGTTTAGTTTTGCCCCCTATATTAAAGGGGACAAATTTTTCACATATCGCAATAAAAGACGAAAATGACAATGCTGTACGCAGTGCGAATGTGATTTCCGACAGAAAGGAACTCTTTGTAAACTGCTAAAATAAAAAAAGCGATTAAACTGCTACTTCTAGAACTAAATATAAAAATGATCTACTACCATACATCGTACGGTAATTCGTCCCGGCGAATACGTAACAGAAGTAGAAGTATTACTTAAACTGAATTTTCAAGACATTTCTCATGTGGTGATAATGCACTTGTTCAAGTCGATCTCTAACGACCGGCAAAATAGTGATGTCCGAGTACGGCTGATCTTCATGTCGACGATTTCCGGTGGGTGGAACGCTGATGGCAGGAGCTCTCCCTTTGTACACATACTGCACCTGTATACGAGGTCATACTGTATTAAGGTCATACACGTACTGTACAGTACGGTAAGGTATGCGGCCGGGTACTGCAGCAATTTTAGTACAATTATTGCATAATTATTGCATACAATTATTGCATTACAAAATTGCTTAATGGAATAACCGATACAAAAATAGGGGCAGTTTCTTCCATTAATTAGCAGTTTATTATTTTAACGGAAACTTAAGAGCTATTGAATTACTGTAATTTCATGGAAATTAATCTCATGCAACAAACAAGGTAATTAAGGTCTTAATAGCTTAATATCTTACTATGTAGATCAGCCTGAATATTTACCGCTGTCACTCTTTTTCTAGTGGTGATTGCAACCAGTTCAGCACTTCACGATCATCGTTGCACCAACTACATGTATGTATCAAGCCCGCTATTGAGAACTGGGATTCTAGAACGAGATAAAAATAACAGAAGTAATATTCATCATTCAGCTTATTCACCAATCACCGTAGGATTAATTAAACTGCAACTTTACATAATTTTAACATAGTGTTAAAATTATGTGAAGCTAAAATTATATAATAATTTTAATATAATAGTTTTAACACACTTATCAATATTTGTAATTATAATCCGTGTTGTACTGGGTGGCCGAACAAAATGTCAGTCTCCTGTTTTGACTGGTTTCACGCGAACCATTTTTCCTACCATAAAGTAACTATGCCATTTTTCCTACCATAAAGTAGCTATGAGCTATGCAGTTCTCGCATTTATTTTAGAAAATTAAAACATGCTCATAAATTTCGGTATTAATTAAAAAGGTGTGAAAATTTATTTTGTCCCAGCTTGCAAACTTTTGAATCTGGTGATACGTTTTTCCGGCACGCAATATTTTAACTTTTTTAGCTGATTTTCTTAGCAAAAACCTTCTGCTTTTTAAAGAAAAAAAAGTTGTTGGCATGGTGCATGCTCTGAACGAGCTATGCAGTTCTTGCATTTTGTGGCTTTTCGAAAACCTGCAAGTTTTTTGTTTGATTTTTTCGGTTATTTTAGGGAAAATTTTTTGCTGCAAAACAGGCTGCAACCACATAAGCTGATTTGGATGATAAATGTAGGTAAATGATTGCTCTTATAGAAATACGATTAAACTTTATCAGTTTCTGAAGCGCCGGAGAGAAATTTATTATTAAAGCACCGGCCAGCTGATTTCACGAGAATCATATGTGAGGGGGTTTGTGCCTACCGCTTCTAGCCCGAACACATCCAGTAAAGGTCACAGTTTGTTACGAGGAAAACAACAAGAAACATTTCCCCTACCCGAAATAGTAAAGTTACACCCATAAAAATACTTCGTCGAATAACGGCGATTTTGAATTCAAAAACGGCAAATTTGAATTTGGGTTTCCGGGACATCCTTCAACTTCACCCATTTTTTCCAAAGAATTTGCAAGAAATGCAAAGCTTTGTATAATGTTGGTTTTTTCTAGTTATTATATGGAACGAACGCTGCTTTTTTAAATGAAATTAGAAAGCTGTCAATTGAAGGCTGGATAGACCCGCAACACTTCAAAAAAACAGACCGACATTTTGTTCGGCCACCCAGTATACCACACAGCTCCGAACGCTTACCCGGTGTTCATCCAAAATGTCCAGCATCGGTACATTTCCAAGCGTTACTCTTTTTCAACAGATTAAAGCAAACACAATCAGTAATATTTCGGAACATACAATTAATAAAATAATTGTTCGTAGTATGTTGGCAGTTGTGTCAGCTTGTCGTCTGCGTAACAACGATGGCTGAAGGCAGAACAGTAATTTTAAGTTCAAAATGATTAGCGTTTGATGTCTGAATGGTAACTACCAAAATATGTAATGTTGTGTCTCTATGTGCACTGAACTTTGGTCCGGCGAAAGAGAAGGTCGATGCTGTTGCGAAGCTGCAGCGTAGCACGAACCAAGAGCGCTTTATACAATTTCATAAACATACGCACACACTCATAACACAAGTGCATGTGCCAATTGCCTTTTTGCAAGCAACTGTTCTTATCATTGCATAGTATTCTGTTTTCCAAACAACAGATACCCCAGATCTTTAATTATCAGTCATGTCAAGTTTAACGTATGCAAACAAAGACAGTCAATAAGCGTTGGATTTAAGTCGATATTTTCTGTTTTCGATGAGTGCCATTTTACTTTGTGCCGTTTGTAATAATCCTGCACATGTAAACCATACAAGATTTATTGAAATTTAAGTGCTCATTTGAACATGTGTAGTTAAAACTTAAAAGCAATTCGCATATACTGGTATGCAAATGATGCCGCTAATTACGAAATTTAAACGATGACGATGACAAATTGACAACTAAAAGTTAACTTTATTTTTTACAGGTCTGTTTGGTGTAGAATAACCGAATAACGGGTGTTTTTCGGATTTTCAGTGATCACATCAGTCTTATCGTGAGCGCCTATTGCCGGGATATTTACCTGCATTTTTTAATTATGCAGCTGTGTTAAGAGCGGCGTCGTTTTGACCTGCTTTGTGTGGAAATGTTTGAGTGGTTGTAATTTTTACCGTGACGTGTACCATCGCGTAAGGTACAGACAATGCGGAATAAGCCCGATGTTAAATTAAAAATTTTTACTACTCGTCATTATTGCAGCGACCTTTGACTGGCCGCCAACCGGTGTCCATTAGGCGATGAGGTATTTTGCATTACAGTATTAAGCGTACACCGTCCATGCCAAATTATTGCAAATCGAAACGCAATGCAGTACTTCGTGAATCGGCGTGGTTTGGAGCTTAGCACAATTTTGGAATTCATTCTTTTTGCAGCACCATTACGCATTAATTGCTGATCGTGCTATTCGTGCCGGTGGTGTAATTCGCTGAGAAGATTAGTAGGGTCTTGTAACTCTTGTCCATGTACGGGTTTAGGTATTAGCAGCTATTAATGCAACTGATACCATCGCAATTTTATTAATTTTTGCAACTTGTACAATGGAGGCACCGTCAGTATTTTCTACTTATTTATTAACCGCTATGCCCCGTGTTTTCTGGCATATGCCATATTTTATTGCGTGCTAGAGGGATAACATACCAGGTTTTATCACTTGCCATGCCAGTGGCAACGCCATAGGCACTTGCCAGTGCCAGGTTTTACACCCTGCCAAAATTAACTACCATAAGGCGGCTGGTCCATAGGATCCCGACAGGCCGTCTGCGAACGTAGTTTGTTGCTAGAATCGCAATAGTGCCACCCCCGGCTTAGATTTGTGGGTGAGCTCTGCAGTACATTCAATCCAATTTATAATAAACTAGAAAAATGCGCTTTTCCGTGCATTGGTAGACCGGAGCGCGGCGGCGCGGAGAGAAAATTTTCAACGTTTAGCGGTTTGCCAAGTTATTAACGTACCGGTACACCACTGCTGCAATGAAAATCCTCACGTAAGGAAAGCGGTTTTGTACACAAAAATGACAATTAACGAGTTAATTGATGTTAATGTTAGCTGGAGGACATGCGCTCCCGCACTTTCTCCTTTCGCCGTGTGTGGCGAGTTACGTGAGTCTGTTGGTGGCGCTGCGCGTCGCCGTGGCGCTTAGATCAAAGCGACCGCCGTCATGCACGGGCATGCCGTTTGCACTTGGCACTGTTCGTACGCTCGCATTGCATCTTTCTGCAGTTCTCATTGCTGTCTGTTTTGCTCATTCGATCGTGTGCGCGCGAGTGATCTGTTCTTTTACCACCCGCCACACCCTGCTGTTTTCTTCTGCTGTTATTTCGCACTTGCTCAATAAAGGGGCCTTCGGTTGCGCAGGGCACTGGTCGCTCTCTTCCGCCGACCCGGTCGGCCGGCTTCTCGCTGACCCACGGTCACCGCACGCAGCCGATCACCGAGAGCACCAGCCTTCCAGCAGCCGGGGCTCCAGCGCCCCCAGTGGATTCCGGAAGCGGCCCCCAGTGGATTCCGAAACATTAACCACATTTTTGTAAGCGTTGGTTGGCGGTCAGAACCCATTAAGGGTAAATTCAGCGCGGTACACAATGTGCTATGTACCGCTTTATCGCTTTATGGATCTGCTTGCTGAGACGTTATGCCCGAATAAAATCACATACGTTAAAGTTTAAACGCAGTCCTTTTAGTCGAAATGCGAAAACCTACCGTTAATTGTCCAGTCTATTTTTTTAAGTTTATCAAGTCACTTTCGGCATCTGTCGTCGGCAGCTATTCTCCAAGAGTGCATTGTACTGCCAAAGTATTCCAGTAATGTTATTCTTGATGAAGGACTTCGTCTGAATGACTCGAGCATTTTATGCAGCTCCATATTTGCAAAATAATCATTTCAGTTCTATCGAGAAATACAAAGGTCGTATATCTCACTGGAAGCTGGGAGGAAATCTTGGAGCCAATATCCAATATCCTGCAGATTTTAGAGTTGAAGCTAAACTGGCTCGTGGTTGCTGACAATCAAACGCTGCAATTTGGTGAATTTATGACCTTCCCTCCGGTCAGTCACACGTTGAGGAAGAACCATGATAAAGCATATAAGACAAAATGGATGCCTACACCGGCTTACGCTGACGTGTGCCAGAACTTTCTCGTGAAAAACTGCATTTTCAAGAGCAACAAGTCACTGTGCTTCAGATACGCATGTTCTCACTTTACTCCAACCGTGGACTTCGGATTACTCAATTGTTGCACCGATCCATTTGAAATTTCAATTTCTCTGTGGTCTTACCGATTTGAACGATCGTGGGCCAAATCGGGAAATCGTTTCCACGACGAATATAATCTTCTGCTCTGGAAACTCTGTCCCCAGTTAGATGACAACAAATTTCAAAAGCTTTTGGAATGGTTGGACTACCTTAAAACACAACCGGAAGATCTTGAATTTTTTATATGGACGTTCATCGAGCTCGTTTTTACAATGTAAAGTATAGCCAACCCTGTTTCGAATTTGGAATTCTATAGGTGGAGTGGTTTTCGCTGTTTTATTTACTTTTGTGCCATTTGCACCGGTAAACAGTTATACCAGAAACCACAAGAAGACCGAATTCTGCATAGTTCTGCTTGCGATTTTGCTTGGCAGCCAATTTGCCGACAATGCGCCGCCCATTGTAATTTGCTCCTAAAAAGCTCCCCCTCCACCTCTTGGCCAAAAAATTATTAAATTAGTCTCAAGGGTATATTTTTAAGGTGGCGCGTCGAAGCTCCAAAGGATATCGCAGAAGTTATTGATATCGTTTCAAATCCCAAAATACAGCACTGTCCGTTGACCCACACCCTTTATCTCCTTGTACCAATCCGGCCGTTTGCGTGACAATGGAATTTTGGTATGTGCTTAAGGGAAGTGGGCCGGTACATGGTACCAAATTCGTGTACATGCACGAAAACTTACACTTTCGCGCACTCTCAAACACATTTTTGTTTTGGTTTATGACGTTTTGTAGCCATAAGAATTGTATACACTGGCGTGAAAACCGTTTGTGCGCGCAACATCCGGTTCGGGAGTTATGGCTGCTGCAAAATTCCAAAAAGTTTAAATGCATTCAGGTGTACCAAAAGTCTCATTATAGACCGATCTCTCTCAAATTTTGCACGTAAATGCGCATGTCTATGAAGATCGTTTTTACACCGATCCAGACTTCCATGATTTTTTTCAAATTTTAAAATGAATTTTAAAATTTTTGAAATTCATTTTAAAATTTGAAAAACATGCTAGAACAGTGGATCGGTGTAAAAACGTTCTTCGTGGTTATGTGCATTTACGTGCAAAATGTGAGGAAGATCGGTCCATAATGAGACTTTTGGTACACCTGAACGCATTTAAACTTTTTGGAATTTTGTAACAGCCATAACCCCCGAACCGGATGTTGCGCGCACAAACGGTTTTCACGCCAGTGTATACAAATCTTCTGGCTACAAAACGTCATAAATCGAAACAAAAATGTGTTTGGGAGTGCGCGAAATTGTAAGTTTTCGTGCATGTACACGAATTCGGTACCATGTACCGGCCCACTTCCCTTAAGTACTACACGTAATGATAAAATTTTGCGCCTCGTGTATGAGTATAATATTATGGCATTAGTATAAAGTTGCATCTGCTTTCCAGTTATACTCTCCGCAATGCAACAAGAACTGCAGAACCCAGAAAAGTTCTGGCAGAAATTTAATTTCGTTACCTTGTCGATAGTCGAAAGCCATGTTGTAAATGACTTCACCTCATTTTAAATTTTTGTTGTAGCGTATTTACAAACTTCTAAGAATAGAAACTTGCGCAGAGCCTGAAAAGCGAATTCTTTTACAAATCAAGATGATACATACTTTTCAGAAATCTTTTTGTGGATAGTGAACTAGGTTGTACAGTCTTCTAACTTGCCAATGAGATTATTAAATACCATAAGAAAGTAATTAAAGAAAGTGCACTCGCGTTGTGCGGGCTCTGCATGACCGAAGCGTAGCAGAATTGATTGATTGAAGGACGAATCTCTGATATTTTTATTGCAGATAACTGTTCTTTTTTGTCACGTTCCTTCACATCTGTAGTATGTTCGGAAATACATAATAATTTTAGCCTTAGGTATATGCATGATGGACTGGGCAATACTCAGTCTCTTCTCTCTAGGCCCTTTATATTTGTTGGAACAACTGTATTTCGAAGTGCTCCGAGGGGCAGGTTGGAACCCCTGGCGGCTTATAGTTTGATGTTTTACATATTATTGATTGATTGATTTATTTTCGAGTAGCCAAGCCCATAAACGGGCACTCTCACATATTCTTATCCGTTGAAGAACATCAAATATGCTAGGCTAGTCAAGTCACCACAACTTGTTAAACACCAGTAATACGTGCGCTAGAGAAGCAACACATCAAAGAATTGCTGTAGGCTAATACGGGCACAAAGCTACGTCATGCACAAGGCACAAAGCCACAGAACAACAAG